GTGAACGAGGTTGTTTAGTTACCATGGCATCAGCTTTTTCTTCTTTGGCTCATCTCTGATGCCTTCCAAATGACAGTTTGAGGCTTCTCTGTGGCTTCTGCAGGGAGAATAGGGATTGGGACAGGGCAGAACATTAGAAATTAACCGGGGTTAATTCCAGCAGGTACAAAGATCCCAGATAAATCCAATTCATGGGAAACACACATGTTTACTTCAACAACGGACTCAGACTTCATTAGGTTATGCAAAATGGGCTACCTGGCAGAAAATTTATTCCCTCTTACGAAGGTCCCTCCTCCAGTTCCTCATTGGCTCAGGACTTTTGAGCTATACTCTTTTAGGCACCTGTTTCACCACCCATTAACAGTCTGCTTGTCGAAGAACTTTCTCAGGTGCATGTAATCTAACTATTAGGCCAGCTAGTTATGTGTGACTGCACATTTGCAAGCTATTATGCTGTTTATCCACTCACAGCTAAAGAGCTTACTTTGAAAATGAACCATGGGATTTGCACTATGGCAGAGTGAGTAAAGATGCGCCTCTGGTGCTAGAATCCTATACAGGCAGCAAGTGGGTTCCAGGGTGCTCTACTTCTGATCTAGCCCCCTGCTAATGCACTTGGGAAAGCAAGGAAGATGGCCCAAACCCTGGGGCCCCTGAAGTAGAAGACCTGGATGAAACTCCTGGCTCCTGATTTCTGACTGGCCAACTCTGTCCATTGCAGCCATTTGAGGAGTGAACTGGTAGATGGAAGATCATTGTCTGTCTCTTTTTTCCTCTTTGTAATGCTGCCTTCAAATAGTTAAATGAATCTTTAAAAAGAAAATAAGCCAAGTGTTTACATCTCATAAATTCTTGTTCTCTAACCATGAAAAAATCCAGGATTAGCTTTTCCAACCCTCAAGCTCCAGAACTTGAAAATACGGTCTTAAGTACTAAAAATGCTGAGGAGAAGTAACGTGTCTGTTTTCTACAGTCTTATCTGGTATATTTATGTGTCATTGCTTTATGAGAAAGCAGTTCAAGTTTGTAATATGGTTTGCATCTGAGGAGGAGTATTTGGTGGCAAAGGTGCTAGGTGTGTAAATCTACAGTGTCTTGACCAGTTAGGCTGACCGCTTTCACACAGGATGAAAAGGTCATTGTTGTTCATGCAAAGGGTCAGAGTAGAACACTCAAGTCCCCAGCTTCACAGTTTTTTGCAACCTTTGCAAAGGATAATGGCTTTTTTTGCATCTCCATTTTTTCATGTACTCTTGTTAATTATAACAGCAAAACATAAGAATTATTTGACTTGAGTCAACAAAGTTACCGTGGAGTTCATGGCTATTCTTACAAGAGTTTTGATGTTCAGTGGCTTGATTAGAGAAGCAACTGCTCTACCACAGATCATGTAAGAGTTTCTGTGAACAGCTGAAATATTTGTAGATTTGGCAAAAGGTTTTTTTTTTTTTGCCATAAAAGGTCATTCCAGAATAATATATAACCTACCTAAAGGTTGAGTGGACTGCTGGGAAAAATCAAATGATACAGACTGATGACAATATTGCCTTGGTTCGTCAATCATGAAGGCTTCAGGACCATCTTTCTTTTGGTAAAAGTGGACAAAATCCACGTGCAGTGTTTTCACCTGTGTAAGAAGTAGCTGTAAACTTTATGCAGAAGCATTTCCAGGTGAAATGAACTAGCAGGAACTGAAGAGTGGAGCTTTCCTGTTTTATTTATTCACCTTCCAATGGTTAGCCTACCCAGCGCTTTCACTGGCAAAAATAAGATGAAATTAAGCTTTATGTTTCACATGATCTGTTCATCAGCATTGAGGTGGATTGCTAACATAAACAGGCTTTGGAAAAGGTGTGCGGGACAAATTGGGTTTGTGCCTGCCTTATTTATTAAAAAGTAAGCATATGAAGGGAGAGACACATTTTGAAAGGGAACCCATACTGGAAGGTTGGATAGTGTGAGATTAGAATAGGTTACCTAGCGGCTTTTCAAAAGATAAGGAAGGTTTTATTTAAGAGGTTTGGTGTTTGTGGGTTTCTTTGCCGAGGTAGGAGGGAGGCTTATCAGGGGAAGCCAGATGATAACCAAGTTTCTCAGTCTGTAATCATGAGGAAAACTCTGATCTTTGTGATGTCAGCTGCTTCTAGAATCTTAGAGTTGGTGCACAGGTGCCAACAGCCATGGTCTTCCAGTGTCCTGGGACTAATGAGTTGGTTCTAGCTTGATGTGGTTTCCATGAATCCAGGAGGATTTTCCTTGTCCTTTGGTGACAGAATAACTGCTTAGCAGTTCTTCACAAAGTCTAACACAGCCAGGTAACAGTATATGCTTTTTTTCCCCTTAAAAATCTTGACGTCTGTTTGATCTCTTGGTCAAAGAACAAAGTTTGTGAGTTGGTGTAGACCACGCCTTTTTAACTTAGTGTGTTTTTACTTAAAAGTAAAGTAGTTCTTACATAAAACAAGGTGAATTGTTCACTCAAGTCCCTACAAGGTTTATTCAATTCAAAAATGAAGATGCATGCATGCCAATAGATAAAAAGTGACCAAAGAGGGGAGCATCTGTCTTTTATCTGGAAAACTCTGGGTTTTTAGAACTACCAAAGCTAAAGCTTTTTGCCATTAATTTTAATGAAAGATATTTTTCCTAAAATTCCTTTTATTTGTAGATTTTTGACATTACATTTGATATAATGATTAAGCATGACATTGTATGGGTTCTCTCGAGCTTTTCCAGCAAGTGGCTTATTTTATTTAAAATGTGTTTTCCTTCTTTTGATTCAGCCTATGAAATGATGACAACATGAGTACAGACATTTCAATTCTTAATTTCTTCATCATTATCCCACGGTCAATACAGGTACTTAGATAGCATTTAGACCATTCACCAAATATGTAGAAAATCAACAGTGTGCTAGCCTAAGGCTGGGGTAAGTGTAGAAAATCAATGTGGAGTGTCATGAGGACAGTCTGGGCCTTGGAAAATTCTTGAGAATATGTTGATCTATCCATAAATTTGGTCAGCTTTTCAAGTAGTGGTTTGGGAAATAATTTGATCAGAAATTTCTTGGGAGTCAGAGCAAAATCAGTTGTCTTTCAATTTCTCAGTTCTCTCTTTATTTCCTTTCCCTCCTCTTTCCTTCTTCCCCCTACGCTCTTTTAAAATACATAGAATCCACTTATTTGATGATCTTATCTGAAATGTGTCAGTGGCATTTAAATGGAGTGACTCTCAAAATTGACTCATAATCTAGTCCCATAACTAAAGGCCTATTATCTTCTTTAATCAGCTCTGATGTCTAAAAAGATTCAGGAAACAATGTATTTATTTACATTTTTTCCCCAGAATTCTCTTCCAAGAATAAGATTATTTTATATTTTCAATGAAAGTCCCTTAATGTGCTGATGTATCATTCATTTTTCAAAGGAGAGGATTTAGCCGCTAGTCTATCATGCTGGGCCCCCAAATACTATTTTAAACGCAACTGTCTAGGTCTGCCCAAGTTTTCTGTCCCAAGACTTTTCTGAAGAGTCAAAACAGAGAAATTTCATTCAATTTTCAATAACCGAAGTGCCTGTTTTTAAAGATTTATTTACTTATTTGAAACACAGAGTTGCAGAGGGAAAGGGAGGGAGGCAGAGTAAGGAGAGAGACAGTGAGAGAGAAGCAGAGACAGAGCAAGAGACGCAGAGACACAGAGACAGACACAGAGACAGAGAAAGTGAGAGACACAGAAAAAGAAGAGAGCAAATCCATCTTCCATCTGTTTTTTGTTTGTTTGTTTTGTCCCCAAATGGCAGCAATAGCTGGACCTGGACAAACTCGGAGCTGAAACTTCATTTGGGTATCTCAACTTGTTTCCAGGGACCCAAGAACTTGGTTCCTCTTCTCCTGCTCTCCCAGGCACATTAGCAGGGAGCTCAATTGGAACTGAAACAGCAGGCACTTCCATTGGTACCCTGATCCAGGATGTGGGCTTGGCAAGAAGCCATTGGACTCATGGTACCACCATGCTGGCCGCTCTCGTTTTTCTCATATAAAATGTTCATGGGGAAACTAGATTTGATTTAAACTGGTTGTTTGGTAGAAGTTTTGGTGGATTCCATAGTTTGAAGCAAACTTTCAAAATGGAAGAAATGATCATTCCTTCCTTCCTTATTATCGCCTTTCCAAAAAGAAAAGAAAAAAAATGAACTTGCAGAGTTTGGTAAGAGGTTGTTTCATATATTTGGCAGACTACTATAAAGTGGTCTTTCAAGGAAAAAATTAAAAAGCATGAGAGGCTCAAATGGTAATTTATTTTCATTAATGGCCCTTTAGTAAGGCATTGACTAGCACAGCCTTCTGAACATCGGGGAATTTAGAAGTAAAAATAGCTACTTAAAAAAGTTATATAAAAACAATTAGAGAGAGAAATCTTTTATCTACTGATTCACTCCCCAAATGGTGTCAATGGTCAGAGCCAGACCAGGCCCACCAGTGCTAATCTGTGCCACAATACCAGCCTAAAAATAGCTACTTTCATTTCTTTTATAGGCTTGGTAATAGGGGACTTAGGATGCTGAGACAAAAGTTAACTATTATATATCTTGTGTCATATATAAGAACCAATAATTTTATTGATTCAAACATAGGAATTAGATCCTTCACATTCTAGAATTGAATAGAACTCCTCATGTTTAAAGTTGTAACCTTGGCAAACTATACAGTCTTGGCAGTGTAACCTCAGCATAATCTTAGCACTTTACTCTGTATTTCTTTTTTTTTTTTTTCCTTTAGATACAAATGATGCAACTTGTGAATGATTTCTGAAATTTGAAATAAGAAGAAGAACATTTAAATGAAACATTATCATAAATACCTCTTAACCATCAAAGAGGTTTCATTACACAATCTTTTATCTATGTTTGTAACTTTTATAAAATGTGGGTAATCCAACGCAAGTAAGAAGACAGGGTTTTTTTTTTTAATATATAATATAGTCATTATTCTTTGCAATGGGACTGCTAAAATTCATACATACCCTTTTTGGACTTGTTGGGTTCAATAGACCATTCCAAAGAGCATTCATTTTCTTTTTGATTCCATATTGCTTAACTGTGGATTTCAGAGCGCCCCCTATTATCCCCAATGTGCCTTTTGTCTGGGCCTGGAATGCCCCAACTGAACTTTGTGTTGGAAAGTTTGATGAACCATTAGATATGAGCCTCTTCTCTTTAATTGGAAGTCCCCGAAAAGGCAGCACAGGACAAGGGGTTACAATATTCTATGCTGATAGACTTGGCTACTACCCTTTCATAGATACGAAAAATGTACAAATAAATGGAGGAATTCCCCAGTTGGGGAACTTACAAAAGCATCTGGACAAAGCTAAGACAGACATCTTACATTACATCCCAACAGACAATGTGGGCTTGGCTGTCATTGACTGGGAAGAATGGAGACCCAGCTGGGTAAGAAACTGGAGGCCTAAGGATATCTACAGGAATAAATCTATTGAGTTGGTTCAACAACAAAATCCACAAATTAATATCACAGATGCCATAAAGAGAGCCAAAGAAGAATTTGAAAAAGCAGGAAAAAATTTCATGCTAGAGACATTAAAGTTGGGAAAATCACTTCGGCCAAATCACTTATGGGGCTATTATCTTTTTCCTGATTGTTACAACCACAACTATGCTAGTCCCAATTATAAAGGGTCATGCCCTGATATAGAAAAGAAGAGAAATGATGGCATCAACTGGTTGTGGAAGGAAAGTACTGCCCTTTACCCATCCATTTATCTCAGGAGCAACTTCCAGTCTTCGGTAAAAGCTGCCTTATTTGTCCGTAATCGTGTGCAGGAGGCTATTAGGGTTTCTCAGAAACCTAATCCTCAAAATCCTCTGCCAATTTTTGTATACGCACGCCTAGTTTTTACTGATGTAACTTCTGAGTTCCTTTCTCAGGTGAGTATGTCAAGTTATAAGGGTCATGTAACAGTGTCCATGAAATGTTGAAACAATCTGATTTTTAAGGAAATTGAGTTTGGCTTTTAAAGATTTATTTTTTATTATTATTTTTTCATTGGAAAGGCGGATATACAGAGAGGAGAGACAGAGAGGAAGATCTTCCATCCGATGATTCACTCCCCAAGTGAGCACAATGGTCAATGCTATGCCGATCCGAAGCCAGGAGCCTCTTCAGGGTCTCCCACGCGGGTGCAGGGTCCCAAAGCTTTGGGCCGTCCTGGACTGCTTTCCCAGGCCACAAGCAGGGAGCTGGAAGGGAAGCGGCGCCCATATGGAATTCCGGGCGTGCAAGGCGAGGACCTTAACCTCTTGCGCCACCGTGCCGGGCACGAGTTTGGCCTTTAATATTACTTAAAACTCAGAATGCAAGTAGGTCTACATTGTAATATGAATGCAAAACAAGAATATTTTTAGTCTTAAAAGCAATCATATAGTCTCAGCAATTCTGGAAAGTTGACTAGTGTAGATTATAGATTAGCTCAGTTTTTTATGGATCTTGCTGTCTTGTCAATAAAAGTAGTTAAAATAGTAGCCTCTACTTTCTAAAGTAAGGCAGTGGTTGTATGAAATATATAAGTAATGGATAAATGTTTGTGACTCTGGGGTCATATGACTTAGGTTCGGTATTGCTGTCCTATGAATAGTATATTGCATTTTGTTATTGTCTGCTAACTCTTTTTTCCCCCTCAGGATGACCTTGTTAATACAATTGGTGAAAGTGTTGCTCTGGGGGTCTCTGGAATGATAATATGGGGAACTCTTGGTTTAGCACGAAGTATGGTAAGTTTAATTGATAGGAAGTAGATGGAATGTTTTTGAGGATTGTTTTGGTATAGAATAAGGGGATACGTACTATGCTTGTCACATAACAGGTTCACCATAGCTATATCAAAACATCTTTCCTTGTTTAGGTTATAAGGTACAAAATACTTAATTGTGACACGTGCATTGAGTGGTTAAGATGTCCATGTTCCACATTGAAGCATGCCAGCTCAGTACCTGACTCTAGCTTCTTTCTAAAGCAGAAACTGGGAAACAGTGGTGGTGAGCCTTACTGTGCTGCTTTCAACTGTGTAGGAGACCCTCATGGCACTCCTGGCTCCTGACTTGGCCCCTACTCAATCCCTGCTATTGGGGGCTGAGGAAGTAAAGCAGAAGATAGGATCTCCCGTGTGTGTGTGTGTGTGTGTGTGTGTGTGTGTGTGTGTGTTTCTGCCTGTCAAGTTACATTTTTCTAGAGATGATATTGCACTTGCTTTCAGTAAGGAAAGAAACATTTGCTGAGATTAATTGAAACACTCTGGGCTACATATTTATGGCAGGAAAGATAGGACTACATTCCCAATTTTCTGACATGGTATTTGGGGTTAGAATATAGATTATTCTCCAGTTAATTTGTGTTCTTGTTTAGATGTCCAGATCAGGCCTTTATTTTCATTCCTTTACCTTTGACTGAATGCAACAATAAGGCTGAGTTGGAACTGAAGTTTTCCATATCTGATGGACGGGGAAAAACCAGACATGAATGTGCCGTGTTTATTTTACACTGTGGCTCCATTTGCTCTGGGGCTCCTTCTCCCCTTGCTCAAATTCCTTCTCCTCACTATTTCTCCCATATTATTACAGTAGCATAGTCCTTTCTAAACAGTCACATGTCCATTATTCTGCTGTTTAAATGTAACTTTACATTGTAGGTATTGACAATGGCAGAGACCAGCATCCTATTGTCAAGACATATTTAGCAGTTAAACTCTTTGAGAGTTCATCTTTGTTTTGGAAGTAGAGATGCATACTGGAATCGCATCTTCATAACTGTTTATGATCGTCTCTATTACACAGTTGCTATACTTCCCCTTAAATAAAAAGCCATGAATCAAAATCACTAACAGGAACAGTAATAAAAAAATTTACAACATCAATTTACATAACATGCCACCCACCAATCAATCACTATGTCACTGAAGAATTAGAAAATAAAAAACCTTCGTGAGGAAAGCGATGATACCGTGTGACCTATGTGATACTGAGGAAATCAGTAGGAGAAAAACATTTTTTTGAAGAAATGAAATTAAAAACAAAACTATCAAATCTCATGAGATGTGGCAAAAATAGTATTATTAACTTGTCCCCTGTGTTTTGTCATAAAATAGTCCATCAGGTGTAGTCTTGACTCCAGCATTCTGCTCTTTATGTGGGTCATGTTGGCATAGACAAGGACAGTTTAGCATCAGGATTAGTCTGTAAATTACTGAGGAACATCAAAGCAAGGATTAGGGTTAAGCATCAATGGATCAATTATGATGGCAAGTGAAACTTAACAAAGGTTATAAAAACAATCATGCTTGTGAAGGTTGCAATGATAAATTGTTTCCTAACTCTGGTTTTGTTCATTCTTTCTTATGGCAGTGAATTGGTTCACATGTAAACTAACATCTCAATATTCTTTCCATTTTGCAATTTCATAGAAATCTTGCTTGATCCTAGATGATTATTTGAAAAATATCCTGAATCCTTATTTAATCAATGTCACCCTAGCAGCCAAAATGTGTAGCCAAGCCCTTTGCAACGAACAAGGAGTGTGTACAAGGAATCACTGGGACTCAAGTGACTATCTTCACCTGAACCCAGCGAATTTTGCTATTCACCTTGAGAAAGATGGAAAGTATAAAGTGCATGGGAAGCTTACCCTGAAAGACCTGCAGGAATTTCCCAAAAAATTTCATTGCAGCTGTTACAGCAACTTGAACTGTAAGGAGAGAACAGATATGCGAAGGGTTGAAATAATTAATGTGTGTGCTAATCAAGATGCTTGTATAAACACCCATCTGAGTCGAGACAGCGGTATTGATCCTACCCTGGAAATAAAGGATGTTCCTCCTGTCAGTGATATAACGTCTATCAAATCGTCTACCACGCTGTCTCCACGAGTTCCCAGAAAATACATCACTGGGTGCCTTCCAGTTCTAGCTATGTATTACCAGTATTTGAAATATTTGCAATAGGCTTCTGGCAATTAGAAAATGCAACATTGACTTATCTGACAAGATGAGTTTTATATCACATTCATAAGATTCTATTTTGGGTTTCAAAAGCAAAATACAAAGCACTTATTGGAAGCCTGTAGCACTTGGAACGGCTAGTTTTCTTCTGATGAGAGTGAAGCCAAATTACTGAAAAACGAATATCTGAAATTTACAATAAAAATTTCAAGAAAGTATTGCAGTGGAAATTTCTATTTTTCAAATAAAAGAGTAAGAACGTATTGCGACTTTGTTTTTATAAAATGATAACCTTTAAAAAATTATTGTCCTATTGACTTTTATCCATGATTTAACATGTCTGAAATTCACATTATAAGATACTCCAATTTTTATCTCATTCATGATTGTCAAATTTAACTTATGTTTTTAAAAATTTTAACCTTAAAAAAATTAGTTGAAAATTGTTTATTTGAATAATTTATCATCTAGTTATTTGAAAGGCAGAGTTACATAAAGGGAGGGAGTGTGAGAGAAATCTTCTGTCTGTTGGCTGACTTCCCAATTGGTTGTGATACATGCAACTGAGTAAGAACTGAACTTGGGCACCTTGAACTCCATCCTGTTCTCCCACGTGTGTGGCAGAGGCTTAAGAATTTGGGGAATATCTTGCTACATTCCCAGGTGCACTTGGAGGAAGCTGGACCTGGAGTAGCCGGGACTTGAGTTGTTGCTTGTATGAGATGCCAAAATTTAATCTCGTGTGCCTAAAATGCTGTGTCATTCAGACACTCATTAACATCCTTCACTTGTGTTTACTGAGAATAGTAATAAGCACTTGTGTTTATTCTCTGCCAAACTTGATATTAAATGTTACAGAATCAAGGTGAATTTGCATGTTTTTTGTTATCAGAATTAGTTGTACACACACACACATGGAAAGAAATTGGAAGTAGAGAGTTGAAACATGCATTTGATAAAATCCTGTACGTTGGCGAGTCTTGGTTTGTAGACAGCTTTGGGGGTATGTCGAAGCCTTCCTGAAAAAGATGTATGTGTAAGTTTCCTGGAAGATGGAAAGGCATTAGGTGAGGTGGGACAGAAGGAATGTCAGAAGGATGGAACATTGAGCATGGTTAGATGGGGGCTAAAAAAGGAAAGACTTCCTAAGGCTTTAAGGTTACATTTTACAACAAAGTCACTCTCAAACCTTTGGATCTGCCTGTTTTCACCTCTATATTACCACATGGTAAATGTAGCTATTTTTCTCTATCCTGTCCTCCCTCCCTTCCCCCCACCCGTGTAAGCATCATGAGGCCAGTATTTGCTCTGTTTTAACTATACCTATAACTACAATATGATGAACAATATATAGGATTTGCAGGTGCTCATTCAATAATTATTGAGCATGTAAAACCCAATGTGACTGTCTAAAGTATTTTAAAGTTGAGAATGACTGCGTCCATTTGGCATGATTTGGAAACTTGGAGACTAATGATATCTTTTAAACAGTAGCCTTCATCTTTGCCTCCAATTAAGATTCTAGTAGTAAAGACATGTTTTCCTAAGTTAGCTGTGAAAAGAGACAATTTGATAATGACTTGGCAAGGACACTGTATATAGGGACTAGTTTACTTAGAATATTTTTAATAGATTTTTATTGGGAAGTCCAATTTGCAGAGAGAAGGAATACAGAGAGAAAGATCTTCCATCTGATTCACTTTCCAAGTGGCTGCAATGGCCAGAGCTGAGCTGATCCGAAGCCAGAAAGCAGAAGCTTTTTCCTGATCTCCCATGTGACTGCAGGGTCCCAAGGTGCTGTTCATCCTCAGCTGCTTTCCCAGGACACAAGCAGGGAGCTGCATGGGAAACGGAGCAGCCAGGACACGAGCTGGCACCCATATGGGATCCCAGCACATGCAAGGCAAGATTTAGCCACTAGGTTATCACCCCGGGGCCCAAGTTAGAATATTTTAACAGCTGTCACTAATATTTAAGTCAGCAGTAATCTGGACTTAGTGTCACAGGCAGTTTGTAAAAAAAAATATAATAACAACGTGGCTTGATAAGGACCTGAAGGACAGATTGCACATGGCATTTTGAGTTCACTGATTGTTAGTACTGGAGACCAAGGTCAAACTCTGAGACAAGGGTCACATGTGTGCAAAGGCCTAAAACCAAAGTCAAGGCCTGCAGGCAATGATGTGCACTTAGGGAGCGTTGAAGGCCACGGAAGAGTGTGCTTTAAGATGTCTTTAAGACAGCTGAGTACTGACCTATGCTTGTGCCATGCGTTTGCTCCCTGATCATCAAGCTTTGGCTGCTTAACATCAGTATGGGAGGTAGTTGTGAAGGTTTATGGCACACCAATTCGTGCAATCTGGTTCCCAATGCAGATCACTAAAAGGTGGAGAAAGCAAACCTTCTGGGCCAACCTCCTTCCTTAGTGAAAGGGGCTTCCCTCTGGCTGCCCCACTTTTGTTGTCTCTCATGTCTTTCATTTCCTTCCCTTCCTCCCTCCCCCTTTCCTCTCCTCTCCTTTCCTCTCCTCTCCTCTCTTCTCCTCTCCTCTCCTCTCCTCTCCTCTCCTCTCCTCTCCTCTCCTCTCCTCTCCTCTCCTCTCCTCTCCTCTCCTCTCCTCTCCTCTCCTCTCTTCTCTTTTCCTCTCCTCTGCAATGTTGTTGGCTTTTTCCGATAGGAGTCGGTTGTGTAGAAGCTTTAATATGTAACACGTGCATTGAGGTCAGACCACACTCCTGTGGATTTGAGGTCCCAATGTATGTGGCAACATCTTGACACAGGATGTGCTTCTTGCCAATGACAGAAGCCATTGGTGAGCCCTCCACAACACAGGAACTGCAGCCTGGCCTGTGGAGCCCTGCAGTGTTGGTTCTTGAGACTCCTGCTCTGGACCTAACATCAGCCTAACATGACGCTTGTACTCTGATGGGTGCAGCCCCAGGGAGGCCCCATAGCCACCCCGCCTAGTCATATCCCACTGCAATCCCTGCCACTCAAGCAGCCTTGGCCCATGGCAAAGAAGCTCTGCCCACATCAAAAGCCCTCAGTGCCCTGTCCACCCCTGCCCTAATATGCTGCAAAACAGGTGGCAGTAATCCATGCCCCACTTCCTTGTAAATTTAACATTAGGCTGGCACATTGGTACAGTTAACGCAGTTAGCATGAACCAGCCAGAATGCCCACCAGCCACTGGCTGCTTTTTTCCCTATAGTGTAACACCAGGTACAAGGCAACCTGGGTGGTTGCCCACAGCTGAGGTCATGAATTTGTATAACTTTTCTTTCTCATGTGACAATACATTTTTAGTATCTGTCCATTTCAGCACATTTTTTCTAGTGATCCCACCATACTCCTGTGCATTATTAAGGGCAGTTCTGAAACAGTTCTTATTTTGCCCCTGTTGTCAAAATGCTGTGGTTAATATCATGTTCAGAGTCGAACAGTCAAAAATAAGCATAAGTGATATGTCCGACAGAAATTCCTAATCTCTGAGTGATCAGAATTCACTTAATGACAATTTTGTGATGTCCTCATGTGATGCTGAGAATTAACTTTCAGTTGTCAATCACTATAACTCCTGTCAAACAAGAAGAGCTTCTGCTATTCGACACTCCATTGTATGCACTATATACAGCCTATTGATTCTTCTCAAGAGAAAGTAAACTTCAGGGTAAAAGAACACAAGCTGAGTTAAGCGGCTTGTGAACAAGCCTGGAGCCTGGAAGATCCCTGGACTTGACCTTTGCGCTCAAGCCTGTGTGCCCCACTGTGACACAACACTGCCTCCATGAGGGTACAAGGTGAAATACAACACAGAGTATCTTAGCACTCTGGGCACGAGGAACTGTGCACTACCAAAAATTACTCAGAGTGTCAGATTCAGGGCACAAGCGATCAAAGGGCACCTATTTTTGTACATATGTTTAGAGGCTCTCGGGAAAAAGAGAAGAGGGCAATTGTAAAAGAGGAATCTGAAGAATCATGATCAGGTGCTAGGTACCCAGGGAAACAGCGGTGGACTAGGGACCCTGTCGTTCACCTCTTCCAGGTCTTTCACCTGGATGGAGTTTCAGATTCTTAGTAGCATCCTGACCCAGCCCCATCCTTTGGCGATGATTCAGTGATCAGTGTCTCTTTCTCCCTCACTCCCCTCCTCCCCACACACCTCAGAAATATTGTTTTTAAAAAAGAATTTGCGGTGCGTTAAAATGTCCTGACACATACCCTTAAACTGTACAGTAACAGCTGTGTAGGGCAATGATACTGGCATCCAATCCATTAGGCTACTTTAACTGCAACTTTTCCAGGTCCCAGAAACCTTTGATTTCAGCCAACAGAAATGACAACTGGTCACACACTAACCTGTTAGAGCTCCAGGGGAAAAAGTCACCTCTCAGGCAAAACCAAATTTCATGATGCTGAAAACAGAATACGTGAGCAATGTTGTTGGTTTGTGTTTGTTGCAGTAGTTCTGTGAAATTGAAAGCTGATTTAAAGAACATTGAATACTTACACAGAACAGAGTTAAAAGTGAGATTTTTATTTAAACTTTTAAATATGTGTAAAGACATCAAACTTCACATATTCCCTATGTATGGTTTTAAGAACATGCCGATGCTACCCACTCTATCCTCATCGTCCCTTGCTCTCACGATTCCCTTCTCCTTTGCTTCTTTTCTTTTTTTGCAGTTACATATTTTCAATAATCACATGATTAACCCTTTGCTAAATAAAGAGTTCAGCAAATAGCAAGTAGAAAAAAAATGCTGATATTCAGGAATATGGACGGGATTCTAAATAACAATCAAACTTTAAAATGTAAAAGTGGCTTTTTTTTCTTTATAGAAATGTCTTCTATACAAAACCCATTAAATTCTGGTGAATTTGATCATGAGATTATCCATGATGGGGAATCTTTTTTTCTTTGTATCTCTCTCTTCACTCTGTCTTTCAAAAAAAAATTATAAATGCCTTTAGAGATTCTCAACAAATGTCAAGTTTCCCATATGTTAGATTTAACCCTATGAAAGTGCTGATATTAGGGCTGGCACTGTGGCACAGTAGGGCTGCTGTTGCCTGGGTCGTGTCCCAGCTGCTGCCTATCACCCCAGCTCCCTGCTAATGCACCTAGGGAAGCAACACAGGATGGGCCAGGTTGCTGCAACAGGCAGGGCTGGGCCAGGCTGAATCAGGAGCTCCAATTCAGTCTC